AATGGCGGCGGAGGCTGTGGCTCTCCACAAAAAACAAGCATATTTTTATCTCCACCTGAATGTAGGTGACTCTGAGTGTAATTTATATCCCAGTTTGCTCCACTTGGAGGTTTTCTGACTTTTCCCTGGTCAGTCCTTGGCTACAGGTGCTGTATCTCCTTGTGCACAGTGGCCATCTTCTGGAGTCCTTCAGAAATAGGTCATGTATTCACAGTGAGGGATGTTTAAGTTCCGGGAGACTGATGCATAGACTGAACAAAAGAAATATGAATTTGGACAGGGTACCAGCAGTGTCCAACACAGGTTAAATCAGAAAACTTAAGTATCCATCCATCCTTACATTTGAGATACCTGAGACTTGGATAGGTAAAGTCATTTGCCCAGAGTCCTGCAGCTGGCTGAAACAAGACGCACATTAGGTCCCACATGACCTTACTCTGAACCAGTGTTTCTCCACAGCAGCTGATGATGGCAAAGGCTGTGGTTATAGCTGCTCCTGTTACACCCCAGTTCTTTTTAAATGTTCTCTTTATTATATTTATTTTATGTGTATAAGTGTATTGCTTGCGGCATGTATGTAAAGTGCACCTGTGTTGTGCAGTGCCCACAGAGGTCAGAAGAGGGTGTCATATCCCTTGGAACTGCAGTTACAGGTGGTTGTTAGCCACCATGTGGGTGCTGGAAACTGTACCTGGGTCCTCTGCTAGAGCAGCCAGTGCTCTTAACCGCTGAGCCATTTCTCCAGCCCGCTTCAGTTCTTTTTAATGTGTTAGCCATTCATTTGAGCTTTTTAAAGCATAATAGTCGACTTCAAATATTTTTCCTTTTTTATTGATTTTTTGAAAATTTCATACAATATATTTTTATCATATTTAGATCCCCTTTCCATCTGCACTCCCTTACTACCTCCCCACCCAATTTCATGTACTTAAAAGGGGGGGGGGGCATTTGTGCTTTACTCCAGTGATTACTTCCCAGGCAGCCACTGGTCACTTTTCTGTCATTGGATTTGGTTTGTCTTTGTCTAGGATTTCATATAAATATGTTAAGCAGCAAGTTCTGTTTCAGGTCTGACATGTTTTTCTCTGCTTGTACATGTGCTTCATCCCCATGGTTAGTATCTTGTTTCTTTTTATTGTGGAGTAGTATTTTATTGTATGATTATGCCAGAATGAATCTGATACCTACAATGGGCAACTTTTGCCCATTGTAAATAAAGCTGTTAGTGAATACTCATATGCATGTATTTTCATGAATACATATTTTCATATTGCCTGAGTAAATAAATTGCTGAATTACTGAGCTGTGTGGTAATGAGCTAAATTGTTTTATGAAAGAATTGTACCAGTTGACATTCCTAGTCACTGTGAATGAGAGTTCAATTGCTCCACATCCCCTCTAACACTTGGCATTGGTAGTTTTAAATTTGGGGCATTTTAATTAATAATGTATGTTGGTGTTACTTGGTAGCATTAACATGCATGTCCCTGATGATACAAGCCTCTTTGCACCTGCTACATGACCAAAAGTATATATTCTTTGTGAATTGTCTATTCAACCATTTGACACACAGGAGCTAGAGAGATGGCTCTGGATAAGAGAGCTTGCTGAACAAGCATAAGGACCCAAGTTTGAATCCTCAGCACCCACACATAAAACCAGATGTGGCTATGTGTACCTGTAACCCCAGTGCTGTGAGTGGGGTGGAGATAGGAGGGTTGCTAGGGGTTGCTGGCTGCCATCCTAGTTTCAGGTTCAGTGAGAGACCCTGTCTCAAGGGAATAAGGTGGGCAGTGATGGAGCAGGACACCCAATGTCCTCCTCTGGCATCTGTATGTGTGTGCATGGGCTTGTGCACCCACACAAATGTGTATGTATACCACATACTTAGATATATACACAAAAACATTTGGCACAACTTACAATATGCATATGGATTTATTTCTGGACTAGACCTTGTTCTAGAAGAGCTGTCTCTGCCAGGTCTGTTTTTATTGATTACTTTTTTTCTCCTGACTACAGATCATATTTTTGTGGTTTTTTGGGTCACATCTTGTAATTTTGTAGTGAGTGCCAGACATAAATTTTCATGTTGTGATTCCTGAGGGTTTTTCTTTTATTTCCTTTTTCCCCCCTTTTAAAAAGAGTTATATTATCCCTCCTCCCTGAGCAATTAGTTAACTTATTCAACCACATAGAAGCTTGCTTTAAAGCTTTAGTAAGTCAGGTTCAGAGTACCCTTTAGTCTGTGTCTTGTCTAGCACCATTACTGAGATGTAACCCTGCAGAAGTATCCCCCAAATTCTGCAGATGTTCCATGTGGCCCCCACCCTCTTGCACGTAATTCAAACCCAGCACAAACCTGTGTTGAATTTGGGGAATCTCTACTTTATAAAGTTCTAGTTGTTCTGTGTGTGGCCTTTTGTATTGCACACCCCACCCCCAGTTTGTTTATTTTAGTATTTGTTCACAGATTTAATATAATCTTTGTGGAAATTGCTGGAATTTCTCCATTCTGGAACTCTTCCTATACTTTGTTCTACTAAGTCTGCCTACCATGCCTTCCTGAATTCTGTCTCTACCCCAGCTTAGGAAACCTCTTCCTCCCTTTCTTTGATTGGACCATTCCTTTCTGCACTGCTGTCCAAAAAGTACTTTAGTAAAGAAATGTGGGTGTTAGAGTTCATGTTCCTTCTTCCAGAGACCACAGTCCTGCTCCACCTAGTATCCAGCAAATGAAAACCATTGTTTTATGTAATTGTTCAGTCTTCTGGCCATTGTTCTGGCACTGTTACTACCCTCAAAAGTGCTTTAGGTTTTTTTAAAAATATATTTATTGTTTTTATTTAATGTGTTTGAGTGTATTGCCTGCATGTACGTAGGTGCACCCATGTCGTGCAATGCCTACGGAGGTCAGAAGAGGGTTGTCAGATTCCCCTGGAACTGGAGTTAAGGATGGTGGTTAGCCACCATGTGGGTGCTAGGACTCAAATCCCAGGTCCTCTGCAAGAGCAGTCAGTGCTGATCCATCTCTCCAGTCCCATAAGTGCTTTGATTTAAAAATTAAGTCTATTTTCTGTAACTTTTTTTTTTTTTTGATCTTTTTGAGACAGGGTCTCCCTGTAGACCCAACTGGCCTAGAACAGGCTGGCCTCTAACTCACAAAGAACCACCTGTCTCTGCCTCCCAAGTGCTGGGATTAAAGGTGTGCACCGCCACACCCAGATCTCTGTAACTTTTTATATATCAGCTTCATGTAGTTTCTATACTGAAGACATCCTTTTATTTGGCCCAGATTATTTACTATTGGAATTACTGGGCATATTTGAGCATAGTATTCTGCTGAAGACACATGTTTGAAGTCATAACACCATAGGTTTTTTAAAACTTTTAGAGAGAGAGAGAGAGGTGTTTGGATGTGTGTACAGGTGCCCTTGGAGCCCAGAAGTGTCAGATCCTCGAGCTGGAGTTAGAAGTGGTAACAATCCATTGTGTTAAACTGCTATGTGGGTGCTAGGAACTGAACCCAGGTCCTCTCAAGAGCAGTATGGGCTCTTAACCACTGAGCTATCGCTCCACCCACTTCATTTTACTTTTATTTAAAAACATTTATAGTATTGAGTACAGCATGCAGAAAAGTTCATAGATGAAATATGTAAGTCAGACAAGTAACTTTAAAGAGCGCAAGTCATATAACTGTGACAAACGAAAGAAACAGAACATACCAGCCTTCAGGACACCTCCTCTGTGCATCTTCCCATCACAACCCTCCCCATGCTGATAGATGGCCACTGCCCTGTCTTGACAGTGGAAGGCTCTACCACCTGTCTGTAGCTGACCTGCACTCACTTTCTGGATTCACAAACACTTCCCATTCCCTTGTAAGCACCATTTATTTTGCTCCAGTGCACCAGTACACCTCAGCTCCTTGCTGCAATATGTTGCAAAGACATTTGTTTATTATAATAAAAATGGTTACGGTGATCCGTAGCATTTGGTTTTCGTTTTTTCTTCGTGCTGGGTGGTTTCTATTATAGCTCTGCCACAGGTGAAGAATAAGTGTTACTGTTATAAAATGAATGGAAAGTACCAGAGAGCCCTTTGGGTGAAGGACTGACCTGCAGCCAAGGATACAGGGTGGCTTGGTGGAGCAGACAGCATACAAGCTTGGTTGCAGAGCCCTGCTCCTCCGAAGCACTGCGTGTTGAAGTCACCTGAGGAATTCTGAAACCTGTCAGAGCCTGCGCTCCATTGGCCAAGGTTATAATTGGTTTGAAGACTTTTACAGGGTCTCTAAGTGCTGCAAATATGCAGAAACAGAATTGTAGATACTATAACTTTCTCCTTAAAGAGACCAGTGGCTTTTCTTTTGAATTGTTAACTTTCTAATCTATCATGTACTGACTGAAATTTTGGTAAAATGCAATAAAAATGAATCAGTAGAAAAACGAAATGCCCACAAGTAAGCATAAGCCCCATTATTTTATATATATATATATATATTCAAGAGACCTAATAACTGAATAGAATTGCTATTAAGATTTTAATATATTTACTCTTGATTTCCATATTTACTATTGTGGGTTTGAAAGTGAATTTGTGGGTTGGATGACTTGTGAACCAGCCCCAAAGTAGTGCTGATGTGTAGTGGGTAAGAGGCAGGGGTCTAAGTGAGTGTTAGCGTGGCCCGTGGGAAGTTGGTTTGTTGCAGAGCATTCATGGCCTTGGATGCTGGGATAGTTCGGCTCTTATTTTATAGGTATTGGGAAGCCAGAAATTTCTCAACGGGATTATCTAATGGGCAAAATTTGGGTCATGGGTTATACTTAGAATACATTGTTATCAAGAACCTGAAAATCAAGGAGCAAAGGTGAGGGTGGGGTACAGTCACTCCATAGAAGTTTCAGGAGACGTTTTTGAAGATATAAGAATTTAAAATAGTTAGTAATCCCCCAAACATAATTAAATCCTAACTAGAACTCCACCTACTGTACTCTCAGAAACTACACAGATTGAGGATCCCAGAAAGCAATGGCGAGGCGAGCAGGAGAAGATGCTCAAGGACTATCTGTCTGTGGCTCAGGACGCACTCAGGACGCAGAAGGAGCTGTACCACGTGAAAGAGCAAAGGCTGGCTTTGGCCCTAGACGAATATGTGCGCTTAAATGATGCCTATAAGGAAAAGTCAAGTTCTCGAACAAGCCGTAAGTACAGTGTGGCTGTTAAAAATCAAGAAGTGATGTATAATTAGTCCGTAGATTGTAGGAATAATATGATTCCCTCTGGTTTTCATGGCTAGCTAGGCATTGTTTCTCTCTTGTATCGTCTCACCCCTCTATCATGGTTTTCCCACTTAAGGTGCCCCCACTTTCCCCCCTTTCTTCCTTACTAATACCCTTGCTCCTATGACATAACAGACCAAGAAAAGTATTTCTTGTGATGTATAATTAGTCCGTAGATTGTAGGAATAATATGGTTCCCTCTGGTTTTCATGGCTAGCTAGGCATTGTTTCTCTCTTGTATCGTCTCACCCCTCTATCATGGTTTTCCCACTTAAGGTGCCCCCACTTTCCCCCCTTTCTTCCTTACTAATACCCTTGCTCCTATGACATAACAGACCAAGAAAAGTATTTCTAGATATGGTTTATTCGAGACCAACTGGTCATTACCCAAGACTTATCTGCATGACACACAGTAATTAAAAATGCCAGAATGGTGGAACTAACCCTTCTTGGATGTTTAACAGACATACCTTCAGATCTATACTAATTGGGTCAGAGGTATTCAAAGGACACTTTTTGCTCCTTGCCCTCCTGGGTCGATTAGTTCCCAGGGACTATGAGCATCGTGCAAAATGTC